TAACTTTATCCCAACAATAAACAAATCAACAAGAATAACAAATAGGTCTTCTACTCTACTTGATAACATCATAACTAACAACTTTCATAATAACCCTCTTTACACAGGTATAATCCAGACCGATTTATCGGATCATTTTCCTACATTCTTAGCTACAAATAACATTTTAATTAACAATATTTCCACAAAATCCATAATAATTCGACGACAGATCAATGAAAACTCCTTAAAACAATTTAAAAATTGTTTAAAAAATTGTGTTGATTGGAATCTAGTACTGCAATCAAATGAGGCTAACAATGCATATGACTTGTTTCTTAATCAATTTTGCAAACAATATGAAATAGCGTTTCCAGAAATAAAAAAAGTCATAAATACCAAGTCACTTCAAGCTCCCTGGATGTCTAAAGGCTTACTAAAATCTTCAAAAAAGAAAGAAAAATTATATATAAAATATCTTAAAAAAAAAACTTATAAAAATGAAATAACTTACAAAAATTATAAAAATATATTTGAAAAAACCAAAAAATACTCAAAAAAACTATTTTATGATCAATTATTAAAGAAAACCAACGGAAACACTAAAAAAATATGGAATTTAATTAAGGATTTAATTGGAAAAAATAATTATAACAAAAGCACTCTGCCAAAAAATCTTTTAATTAATGGAGAATTAGTTTATGAAAAATCAATTATAGCTGAAGAACTAAACAACTACTTTGTTAATATTGGCCCGAATTTGGCTGCTAAAATTTCTACTAATTCCATTCCATTTGATTCATACTTAAAAACTTATGATAAACTTATGGATGAAACTGATTTAAAACTGAGTGAGTTGAGAACTGCATTTAGCAGTCTCAAAAGTAAAAAAAGTGAAGGTTTTGATAAAATTAGTGTTGATGTTGTCAAATCAGTATTTGAAGTCATTGAACCTTCTTTATTTCACATTTTCAATCTCTCATTAAAGTCAGGTATTGTTCCTAATAAATTAAAAATTGCCCGTATAACACCAATTTTTAAATCTGGAGATAAGTCAAATATTTTAAATTACAGGCCTATATCAATCTTACCTTGTTTTTCAAAATTGCTAGAGAGAATAATGTATAACAGACTTTATAATCATCTAACTGAGAACGACATGTTGTATTGTAAACAATTTGGTTTTAAAAAAAAAAATTCCACTGAACACGCAGTAGTTGAACTTTCCAATCAAATATCTAATGCCTTAGATAATGACTGTTTTACATTAGGAGTTTTCATTGATCTGTCAAAAGCTTTTGATACCGTAAATCACTATATACTAATAAAAAAACTCGAAAACTACGGTGTAAAAAATAAAAACTTACTTTGGTTCAAAGATTATCTGACTAACAGAAAGCAATTTTTATACTATAATAAAAATAATACAATTCCACACTCCATAACTTGCGGGGTTCCTCAGGGTTCTATTTTAGGACCACTTTTATTTATATTGTACATAAACGACTTATACCTATCAACAAATCTTTTAGACCTAATTTTGTTTGCTGATGATTCAAATCTTTTTTGTTCTCACCGAGATATTAAATCACTTTTTAAAATAGTTAACGAACAGTTATGTAATGTTAGTGCATGGTTCGTAAGTAATAAACTTTCACTAAATGCGGAAAAAACAAAATATATGCTTTTCCATAAAGTAAATAAATCAGAAAATATTCCTCTTAAATTACCAGATCTTAATATTAATAAAACTTATATTAAAAGGGAATCTTACATAAACTTTTTAGGAGTAAAATTGGATGAAAATTTAAAATGGTGTTCACATATAAATAGCATTGAAAAAATAATCTCAAAAAATATTGCAATGATGTTTAGGGCTAAACCCTTTCTAAATATATCATCTCTGAAAAAATTATATTTCGCCTTTATTCACAGTTATTTGTCTTATTGTAATGTTGTGTGGGCTAGTACTAGTCATACAAAACTAAAGAAACTCTACAATAAACAAAAACATGCATGTAGAATAGTATTTGGAGCCGACAGAAATGTTCCTTGCGAACCACTTCTCAGTGTGCTCGGTGCTTTAAATGTATATAAACTTAATTTACACCAAGTTTTATTGTTTATGTTTAAAACAAAAAAGGATTTGTCTCCTAAAATATTTCAATCTTATTTTAATAAAATTAACCATAGGTACTCAACAAAGTTTTCAGAAAACAATTTTGTTGTTCCAAAACATAAATTAAAATTAACTTCCTATTCAATTAAATACCGCGGACCTTATCTGTGGAAGAAATTTCCAGATATTGTTAACAAAAAGCAGACTACATTAGAGCAATTTAAGGATGAATCAAAACGATTATTATTGTTCATGGATCTCAATAAATCCGACTTTAAATGTTTATTTTAAAGTAAACACAATAAAAAAAAATAAAAAAAAATAGATTCAATAATATCAATGATATATGATAATATGAATAAGAAAAGAAAGAAAAAGGAAAAAAAGAAAAAAAAAAAAAAAAAAAAAAAAAAAAAAAAAGAATAAGAAATCCAAGTGATGATGTCACAAGTGATGATGTCATAAGTGATGATGTTACATATTCATTTAGTGTTAATTATGAGATTTTATTTTTTCAATTTCTTTTATATTCAGGAATTTTTTTTTTTTTTTTATATATTAACTTATTTCTTAAACATTTTAGCAACTGTTAAGCATCTTAACGCTTCTTAATTAATTCTTATTTTTTATTTTTTTTATTATATTAGTTATTTTCTATTTCATTTCTAATTGTTTCTTTTATATATATATTTGTATGTTACGGTTATGTAGAATTTTTAATGGGGCTCGGCGATAAGGCGAAATGTGCCTTCTTCTTGCTCCAGCCATTAATTTATAAAAATGTATATGCAATGTAAAAATTTTTTAACGGCGAAATAAATTACACTAAAAAAAAAAAAAAAAAAAAAAAAATAAAGTTCTTAGGTGTTTTTCTCGATGAAAACATCACATGGAAAACGCATATCAACTATATTGGTACAAAAATTTCTAAAAATATTGGAGTTTTATATAAAGACAGACATATCAATGTAAAAAAAGGGTAACTTGATTTTATTGCTCATTTATTCATAGTTATTTAAATTACGCTAATGTTACATGGGGAAACATTGAAAAAAGTTGAAACGCCTTCGTCGCCGTCAGAAACATGCAATCCGTTTAATACATTTTGGGGATTAAGACACTCATTCCAAACTAATTTTCATTGAAATAAAAGTTCTTAAAATGAGCTTTTTGTTTTTTTTGAGCTATATATTTTCTTAATGTTTTATATATATGTGGAAAAATGACATATCTTTACCCATTTTCAAAGATCTCTTTTGCTTAAAATAAATAAATAAATATGCACTTAGAAATAATAATTTTACATACGAACCCATTTGTCGAACCAAGTTTAATCAGTATTACATATCGTGCAACCTATCTTTGGAATAAAATTGTTTTGTCCAAATTCAATATGCATTTTACTTTTTCTATTTTCAAATATAAACTGGAAAATTTAATTAAACCGATGGAATATGTAGTCAGGTATTTTTATTTGTAGTTTTATATTTTATTTAGAACTTTTATTGTAAATTACGTTTTCTTATTTATTGTAAATTACGTTTTATTTTATTGATTATGTTTTGATGTAGTTTATATACACACGCTTGTAAAAGGTTCTGAAGATAAGATCAGTACGATCTTCTTTCAAAAGTCTTGTTTGTGTTTGTAGAAGTAATTTATTTACTACGACAATAAATGTAAACTAAAGAAAAACAGTAAATGAAAAAAAAAAAAAAAAAAAGAATTGGAAAAAAAAAATGCGATTGATCCCATATTCTTTCAATTTATGAGGTAGTCCACGGTGAGAAGCTTTATCAAACAGTTTCTCAAAGTCCAGAAATGCAGTATCGTTTAACTTCTTTTACCTAACGCTTTCGTAATGTAGTAAGCACTCTCCAATAAGTTAGACATGCATATAATCTATTAACAATTTAGCTCACAGGAGTGGAGCCAACGTCACCTTGTTTGAAAAAAAAAGACCTTTTTAAAACAAATTTTCATGGCTAGAAATTCAAATGTTAATATCTATTTAAAAATAAAATCTGACATTTCAATTGTCGATTTTAGCATTTTTTAAATTTAAAATAAAAAGGATACCAGTGTAAAAGGCTTTTCAAAATTATTCAGCAACTAAGACAAAATCTTCTGGATATCCTTCATGGGTTTTGTAAAGCGTTAGATATGTGGCTTCTTCTCGTATTTAAAAAAAATTGAAAAAAATGTTTTTTTTTTTGTATTTGGAAAAAACAAAGCAAATGGCACTGATATAAAAAACTTCAAACAATTTTTACGTGCTTGGAAACTATCAACTGAGTTAACAAAACTTTATATTTGATTCAGCCACTTAACATCATATTGCTAATGGACTCATCAGTGAGCAAGCGGGAGAATCTCTTCATTCAAAATTTATCATCATGACCCCTACGAAAAAAAGCAAACTTGAGTGTTGTTTTAAAAATAATGTAAGAATGTACTATGATATATTATTCAAATATACGAAACTTTGTGCATTTTAGATAACAATTATTATTATGGCTATTATTAATAATAAAATGAATGTAAATATATCCTAAATAGCGTTTTTTTTTTTTGTAAAATGCCATATTTCATCACGAGATGAAAGTTTCGGAACATAAAATGGTCACGTAGAGATCATGACAATCTCTATAGAGATGATCACGTGGAACACTTGTAGACTACTTGGCGTGGAGCATATTCCATCCGTTAGCCAGTTTATTTCACGTTTAAAAATTTAAACGACTGGCTTTTTACTTTTGATGACCTGAATAATTTTATGCCAGTTTTTAAAAATTAAAACTTTTTCAGGCCACTAAAACTTTCTTTAAATTTAAACCAATTGAAAATATTATATACAAAAAATATATATAAAATGATGTCAAAAATTTCTCGATATGATACAAAAATTTCTCGATATAATACAAAAAAGCGTCGTCGAATTTCGCTAAATAAAACAGGTTATCGCTTTCTAATAAAAATTGCACAAAAGAAAAAAATTGACCAATTATTTTAACTTCATCAACTTATTTTAGTGAAAAATCACAGTAGATGCAAATATCTGAATATAGTCAAATACGTCATACAGAAACATACAAACGTCATGTAGTTACATTACACACATCACATGCAATAAAAAAAGTTAAAAAGTACAAAACAAAAAATTAAAAATAATTTACTACTCTATTAGAAAAAAAAAAAATTTAGAAATTTTTAGCTTCCTTTATTAAAAGAAGCATATGTTTTTCATCACAAACGCTCACTTGTTTCAAATCCTCTATAGACATTTCGCTAACCTCAGAAATACTTTCTATTCCAGCATCTGCAAGATCGCTAGTAAACATCGGAAGACCGATATGAACAAGCCATTCTTGAAGTGACATTTTTTTGGAAATATTAGCGTCGTTACGAAGATTTTTAATATCTAAGGGTATCTGGAAATTAAAAGTAAATGACAAATCTAAATTTTTTATGGAATTCAACTTTTACTTTTAATTTGAAAAAAAGTATTACCACTGGTAATTTCTTCGATGTTCTTTTTTCTGTTCGTATAGCATCAAACAGCACCGCTATATCCTCAACAGAATGTTGCAACTCCTCGGAATATCGCTTTATTAATGCAAACGGAACAATCCAAGAGCCATCCTAAAAAAATTACATTAAGAAAAAAAACCTCTTAACATTGACATGAAAAAAAAAAAAAAAATTAAATCTTTTACCGAACCAGTGTATGGATATTCGTTCAATTTTATCTCTTCTTTCCGCAACTTTTTTTCCAGTATCTGGTTTAACGATGTACGTAATTTTTTTTGTTCAACTATTTTTTCAGTGTTTTTCACTGCAGTTTCATTTATTTTACTATTATATTCAAGCGTTTTTAAACCACAACTATTAGCTAATGATTCAATCGAACTTTGTGAATTAGACTTTCTAATAAGTTCCTTAGATTCAGTATTGCTAGATGTAACAACATTGTTTTGTATACTAGATGTAAACCGTTTAGGAAGAACACTTGGTTTTTGGGGAGGTTTTATTTCCTCCTCTTCATTTGTTACTTTAAAATTATTTAAATTTCGATTATTAGAATAGAACGTTACATTATTAAGGTTAGTGCTACTATTGATTCTACAATCACGGCTATCAGTAACAGGTGTTCTACTATCTGGACTATTGCTACTAGCGCTGTTATTTGAATTGCTGCCGGATTTCATTGAAGTGCTGCCGTTATCAAGATACGTCAAGTCATCATTTAAGTCTTCTATCAGTCTACTCATTTCTTTGCCAATATCATCAAAATTCTTTTCTTCGCTAATCGGAGAAGTTATATTTACAACCTTCTGACGCCTGGGAGGCGCAACTGGAACAGATTCAGATGACGGAATTCTTCGCTCGGGTCGTCGAGGAGCAACAGATGGCTTTACAGTATTTAAAGGTGAATTGTCAAGGTTTTTCAAACATAAGTCTCCTGCTTTACTTTTTAGACTATGATTTTCATCTTTACTTGTTAAAACAAGGTTTTCCTTGTTTTCTATAAGTTTTTGTTTGGATATATCATCTTGGTATTTTGTAAAAGATTTTATTTTTAATGAAGAATGGCTTTCTTTAAAAGTTGACGCATTAACTTTTTCATTTTTAATATTGTCATCAGTATTTTCAGAAAAAAGATCAGCGGGGCAAGATTTGTTACTTATGTTACTTTCAGATCTGTCTTTAACTTGGTTTAACTTGAGATCTAATCTTGGAGGAGGAGGAGGAGGAACTGAGCGAGACTCTTTTTTTTCTAGTTCAACTATTGACTTAACAGTTTGTAAATCAACATACTGTGGCTGACCAATGTCTTCTTTATTTATAAAGTTGTTAGACATTAAGTCAGTTTCTTCACTGGGTGACAATTGTTCTGTATTAAAAATATAAAACTAAATAATTTAATTTATATTGACTTTGCAAATTTAAATAATATAAATATATATTTTGTAACCTTCGGAATTAGGGTCGGCATTCGATAATGCCGACCTGGAAGCGTTTGAAGTTGGCAAAAAATCGCCGATCTCGTTTCTATGTTATATGGTCAAACCTTTGTCTAACAACTTTTTTGCCGACTTAATGCCGACCTTACACAGATTAAGATCGGCAAATTATTGCCGACCTCATTTTTCTTAATTCCGAGGGCTAATATTGTAAATTTATATAATATGAAAATGTATTGTTATAATATATAAAATATTTATAGTTGTATACAATAAAATATTTTCAGGAATTTTTTTTGATTTGCGTTAAAGAATATTTTACATTTGTACCAAAAAATGAAAAATGTCATACCATCTTTATCAAATGAACTCCCATCACTAGATTTGCTTTTCTTTCGAATAGAACTCCTAATTATTTTAAATAAACCATGTCTAGAGAGGTCAGGACTATTTTTTGCAGAACAAACCATGTCTCCTGCAATGCTAGCTCGCTATAAAAATTAATTTTATATGCATATTTCATATATATATATATATATATATTATATATATATATATATATATATATATATATATATATATATATATATATATATATATATATATATATATATATATATATATATATATATATATATATATATATATATATATATATATATTAAGTCACTGACATGTATCAAATAGCTCATGGCTCAGTATGGGATTTATGTATTCTATATATAGAAATTTTGCCACAAAAAAAAAAAAAAAGCAAAAAAAAACTGTTATCTTTTTGGGAAACATTAAAGAAAAACGGGCAAATTTAAGAGTAAATTCTCCTAACGTTTGAAAACAAAACTACACTATTCAGACGGTAAACAGTTATTAATAAAGCAATTTACAATACAAAAAAATTACAAAGATCTGCCGTGAATAATAAACTATTTACCAAGTTAATATATAAATTAATTAGTATTTATTTCGATTTCGTATAAAATATTGATTTAAAAATAAATTAGCTTACTAGGTATCTTGATAAAATTTTATTTTTACAGTACAGCTCCTTTGTATTAAATTACATACTCATGTTTTTAATTGGATATTTAACTTTATTAGTTAAGTTAAATTGTTATTTATGCAATCAGTGGCGAATCATGACAAGTGGTGACCCTTAGCGTCTAAGGCCCTAAGCCTATGAGTCTGGAGGTCCTAAGTGAAGGCCCTAAGTTGTTTTGCGTTTAACTTAAAAATTTTATTTTTAAAAAGTAATACAAGTATTATTAAACAATGTTTAAGAAATTACATAACATGATCCCCCTTTTTGGAGTGAAGAGTTTGACGAGCAAATAGTTAGCAAAAGCAATTACTCAGAGGTTATTGAAACAGATGAAGAATTATTATTGAGGTTGAGACTTGGAAAGATGGAATTGAAGCAAAAGGGTTTTAGATAAATATGAATAAGACAAAAGTTATGCATTGTAAAGTCAAGAATCAGCAGGCAGAAAATACTGCGAAGCGGCCATGAGGAGTGTGTAGGAAGAAAGTTGGAGCTAACTCTAAAAGTTGTACAGTTTGTACAGAGATGTAGATATTGAAGAGATGTTCTTTAAAAATTAGTTTTGAGGGTAGAAAATGAAAATTTGGTGAGTATAGAGAAGAAGTTTAAAAAGAGATTCAATAATATAATTATTATAATAAATTGAAACAATATATGAAATAAATAAGTGGAGAAAAGATAGTGTGTTAGTAAATTTTGTTATCTTGGAGATACAATTGGATCAGAACTGCAAAATTAAAGTTTGACGTTGATGTTAATGTTGCTTGATGTTGCTTTATTACAATTTGAGCATCCTACTTCATTTTTTATTACCTTATGTAAGTTACAACAAACTATTCAAACTGATCTGTCAAACAACTTACAATCGGTGGAAAGAACTGTAAAACCTTCATCGAAAGTTTATGGAAGGCGAAGAGCCATAGTTGCCTGCTGGTTAAAAATTTGAGCAGAAAAGAAACCAAGATAAATGCAACCATTGCATTCTTTTTCAAAGTAATTTTATCATCTTTTATGTTACAAAAATATATTGAAAAATGACAAAAATTTCTTTGAAATACAATTTGTTGTACAATTTGCTTCTTATATAGTGGGGAGGAGGCAAAACTTCGACGCTCTAGCCACGGTACTGACACCAGATGAGAATAAACAACAAAGTATAATATCAGTTAATATTATATAAGAACAATATATGTTACAGTACACAAAAACACTGGGTAAATTGCCAATTTTATAAATTATTATTTAATAATAAAAACGAAAAAATATTAAAATTGTTGCAACAACAATAAACATCCAAATGAGTTTTTAAATTATCTTTAATGTGTTTTTTTCCAGGCTACGCATCTAAGCATCTTACGCGGGTAATTTTCTCCAAATTACAATTGCAATTAATACAGTGTTATAATATATTAAATTATTTACAATAATATATTTGTCATATATCATAATTCTCGAAGGAGCCAACTTTTACGCGGAAGACTTTTGTTAGCAATCTTATATTTATAAAACTGTTCAAAGATAAGATTTTAAAAATTATACTTGGTGAGAACGATGCTCTTTACAGAGTCAACTAAAAGACTGTTACTTTCCTTTGTCCATTTTGAGCATTAATCAACAAAAAAACTTTTTCAATATATTCTTTGTGTAATGGGATACAAAAGAATACTTCAAAAACTTTAATCATCTCTAAGAAGTAACTTGCATTTGGACAAGTTTTAAAAAATAAAACCCAATATTCATGCAAGGGTATTTAAAAATCTTCTCATTTTTGCCTTGCACAAATGGTTTACGAGAACAGTATTGGTCAAACAAATGCACATCATCCAAAATTATACATTTTTTTCTTTCAGGTATAAAATGTATACCAAAAGGTCATCAAATGTGCTGTCTTTTATTTAAATTAAATTCATTCAACCAAAGCACTAAAATTCATCAAAAGGTTTCAACCACTTTTCTAAATAAAGAATGCATGCTTCATACACTAGCTTAACTTATGCCATAAAGCATATATAATCTTTTTCTCTGTCACTTTAGGCTTTCTTAATATCTTTGACTTTAAGCAATAGAAATTTTTTATTTAAACAGCCTTTTAAAACTTCTAAAAAAAGCCTTTTAAAACTTTTAAAAAGGTAGAGTGAAGCAAGCTAATATCTTCTAAAACTGACATTTCTCCCCTTTCAATTACTGCAATATTTACTTGAAAGAGAAACATCAAGGAATGCAAAAACCAAAGATAAGCTTCTGAAAATTCATTATCAAATATATTCTTATCATAACAGGTGGTTGATCTACAGAAAAAAAAAAAATTTTTAAAACATCAAATAATCTCAGCAATATTTCAATAGCAGGAAATAAACTAAACCATCTAGTTTTAGAGTGATAGAGTAGTTGATGATGTTCTCATATTTGTATAAATCTTTTTAAAGCTTTTGTTCTAACAGTGTAAATAGAAAAATGATTGAATATTTTCAAGACAACAGTTTCAACAGCAATCTTTATTAAATCTGCTCCATGTTGTATGCAGTTGTGTAAAACATGGGCAAAACATCCAACACCTACCAACGTTTTTTTTTAAACTTTTTTCAAATACGAGAACACATTTTTCCTTACTTTTCTATTAATGCCTCCAAAATTTACATTAGCTTTGTTTCCAGCAAAAGCAACACACTTAGACAACAATTCATATGTTTGGAGTGTTTCAGAGGTTTCATTTGGTGTGTTATCAAACGTAAGAATTTTAGTTTGGATACCAACAGTGTATAGAGATATTTTTCTGTGAAATGTGATTACTAGCATCTATGGAAAGACCAAAACATGAAGTGCTATCTAATGATTTCACCAGTTGATCAACAGTGTGGGGCCTAATTCCTGATTTATGATTGTCTCAGTTGTTTTTTTTGAACATGCGATATTTTTTACAATTTCTGAATCTTTAAATAATTTGTGCATTAAATCAGCTGTGCAAGCCATCGAGTTGTTAGACTGATGATGACAAACTGTATGAAATACTAAAGTTGTTTCAGCTGCGTGGGCTTTTTACAATATCTTTGAGTTTTTAGGTTAAAAAAAAGATGTCAACTTATTTGATGACGCTGACATTTTGACTAGGTTTTTATGTTTCTCACTGTTAACATGATGCTCTAAGTCAGTAGCTTCTTTGTTAGCAATGGACAAGTAACTCCCAAATCATACACTTTGCCTCATTCTCGTTGCACCCTTCAGTAAAGCAAACTTGCATTTTCTCCTTATAGAAATTGAAGTCATTTTTATAATAAAGTCGAAAATCAATTTAAGTGATGTTGTTGTTAAAGGTGTAAAAATTGACATAGACAAATTGTGGAGCTAAAAACATTTTATTTAAAAAAGAATAGATCTATAATGTTTTTTAATTCCTTTGCTGTTTTATCAAACAACAATTGGAAAAAAGTAGAACCTGAAGTTTTAGTTGAAGAATAGAACATCAAAAAAAACTTTTAAAAATTTCAAGAATATAGCTTAGTTTAAATGAATAAATATATGTAAAAAAAAAAAAAAAACATGAAAAAATAAAAAAAACTTAATATATTAAAAAAGCCAGACATTTTAAATGTTTTCAGCTTTGTCCGCCAGACAGAGGACAAAGGATGAAAAAGGAGGACATTTCCTCCGCTTGCCCATTGTCTGGCAACCCAATTTGAGGATCACAAATTTTGAAAACCAGTTTATTTTCATATTAAAAAACATCATCATCTGCAATAAAATTTTTTTTGACAGCTTTTATAGCCAACTGTAAAAAAATTCTTTTAGTTTTAAATTGACGTGATCAATCAAGACTTTTTCTGATGAAACTAGCCAATATCCCACATAAATCTTTTTAAATTCTTAATTTGAGACACATTTGGTGGGAATTACTTATTTATGATCGGATTCCATATCAACATGATTGACATTAATTAACATAATTGAAATAATTGTTCATTGAATTTTGAGAATTTTTAGAGTAATAAGAACTAGCCAAAATAAATTGTTAAAATGAACGAATGGAAAAATTTTTGTTTCTAAACATTCATCAACATAGATTGATGTATTGATTGCTACAGCCTTGGAAGTGCAAAACAATATCTTAGACACACAGCGGTGTCACATGACAACAGCAATTCGCATTAACAGTTTTTTTGAAAAACTTTTCTTAAAGTGAAGACTTTCTTGGCACGTTTCTTTGTTTTCTGTGTAGTATCCAGCTTTCTTATTCATTTTATCACCTGCAAAACCCAAGTATTTCTCCACATCAGTCACCAAAAGTAATTTCATGTTAAATTTGTGATTTTGTAGTGATTTTGTAGACTTGATTAAGTTTTCTGCTTTTTTTCTTTGCTTTTATTTGTTGTTCAATAATGTATTTGGGAGTTTTTTCACAATATCTGTATTGAATTTTTTTTTTTTTTTAATTCATGACTCATTCTTAAATGATTTACATTGAATTTAAAACCAGACTGAACCCTCTTCGGTTGTTGAGAAGTCTCTTTAGTTTGACTAACTTTCTCTAGTCTAGGATGTGTTATGACCAGAATGCTTTTTTATTAGTAAATGAATGACCAGTTTTGAGTTTTTTTAAGAGATCATAGATTGTATTTTGTACAATTTCTTTTTCAAAATGATTTACAATTTCAATTTTTTTTTTATATTATGGTTTTTTTTACAAAAAAAACTTTTTGTGATACTTTCAAAAAAATCTCGTGCATTTAACTTTATTTTTAAATAACAAATAACTTAAAAATTTAGAAAATAAATTTGTTTTAATAAAATATTTCATAGATTATATATGCATATACATCAAACCACGTGATTGTTTAATTAGCGAGAAAAATTAAAATTTGCCTGATAACCTATGCATCATCTGTTACAGGCCTTGTTATGAGATTTTATTGCGTAGCAGAAAAGAGTAAAGCAAATAAATGTAACTTTACTCAGTAAACATACTTACATTTATATTCAAAAACCTATACTTATTTAAACTTACTATTTATTTTTGGGTCATCCATAAATTACGTCATGATCTAAAGAGGGGGAGGTTTTGTGACAACTCATACAAAACTTGCTACTAAAGTGTACAGGGAGGTCAAAAACGGTTGAAAATAACGTAATTTATGGACAACCCCATACTGCAATTTTAATTGTTAAATTGCAACTTTCAACTTTTACAAGCACATTGCATCTTCCACTACGCCAATGATGCAAAGTGGTAGAAACAAGTGCTTTGAAAAAGTTAAAAAAAACAAAAAACAATGTTCTGCTAACAGTGACATTTTCTTTTTTTATCAGTCTTACTTTAATCAACAAACAAAAGAAGTACACAGCAAACAAGTACTTAAAAATATGCAGGTAATTGACAAAAAAAGTAAATAGAAAGTTAACCAAAAAAATACACAGGTAAATAAAATTAAAAAAAAAAAATCACAGGTAATTAACAAAATATTTCAAAACAAACTTAAAATTATCATACTCTATCTTGCAACTTTACAACCAGTAATTCATTATTTGCAGCCGTGTCATCTAAAATTAAAATTATCAAATGTAAAAACCATCATTATTATAATTATAATGATAATTATGGCCATCAAATGTTCTATTATGACATCATCATAACCACCATTGCCATCTAAATTACTAGCGAAGATAATCAATGATAATAATGATGATTATTGACATTATCATCATTATAATTACAATGATTATATATTTATATATTTTCAAACTTTAATTTACTTTTATTTTTTTTTTGATATACATTTACAGTAGTGTGCAAAAGTTTAGAAACACCAACTTTTTTCAGCTTTTACTGCATAAATACAAACTTGCTCAAAAAAACTGCAATTTTTACCCTATGTGCTCTATATTATTTCAATTTAAAATATAAACCACTAAAGTTGTAAAACTTAATTGTGTTTTTGAAAAATCTTCCGTGCAAAAGTTTAGAAACAACTGAATTTAATTAATAGCTATTTTAAAAAAGCTGAAACTTTTACTAAAATTCACAAAATAACAATTTTTTAATAATAAAATAGTTTCAATAAGACACTTAGTATTTGGTGGCATACCCATTTGTCTTTAAAACAGCATCAGAGCAACTAGGCATTGAATCGACTAAATGAATCTTGAGGAATAAAATACCAACATCTTGAGGAATATTATACCAAAATTCTTAAATAAAACCAAATAAATGGTCTTTGTTGCTTTTTTACCAACTAATTGCTGGTCAATGTACTCCCAAAGATACTCAAGAAGAATAAGATCTGGGCTCTGTGAAGGCCATTCAAAAACTTTTTGGTGATTTAAAATATTCCTTAACAGATCTGACACAATGATTTGGATCATTATCTTGTTGAAAGATCCATTTATCAATCATTTTTTATGTTATCTGAATAAACTCTCTGGTCCATAATACCTTCTATGTGATAAATGGGACCCACATTGTCACGACTAAAACACACCTATCCGTTACCCAACAGTGGGTAACTGATACTTTGGATTAAATCTGTCTCCTATTGGACGTCTGACATACCTAATTTCGTTACTACTGAATAGCATAAACTTCAATTCATAAACTTCATTCATCAGAAAAAAGGACTTTTGACAGTTAATGACCAGTCATTAACTGACCAACTAATGATCTGATCTTTTGCAAATCTTATTCTGATTTTTAAAATTTTTGAAGAAAACAGCAGTTTTTTAACTAGACAATGGCCATACAGATTATTTTGTAATAATCTATGTCTAGTATCAATGCTACAGTTTGCGCAATAAAACTGATGCATAGATTAATTAAGTTCAACACCAGTCTTGTGAAGATTATTCTTGGAATACCTTACTAATAATCTATCAGTTTTTTTAGTTGTAACTTTAGGTCTTTTAAAGTGAGGCTTGCTTTCAATAGTATTGCACAGACAAAATCTTTTTCATGTTACTTATTTCTGGTTTAGAAATAATGTAAAGTTCATAAATCTGCCTGTAAGTCATTTTATTTCCACTGCTTTTAAAATGAATTCTCTCATTTTCTTTAAAACTTCCTTAGCCTTTTCCATGCTTTTAAAATATTACTATGAAATTGAATTATTAAATTTCACAAATATTTTAGCGTTTAACTTTGCTTTTGTTTACAAAAGCATGATTTAATTGCGGGGTATGATATTGTTTCAAAACTTTTGCACAGAAGTTTTTTCAAAAAAAAAAAAATTAAATTTTAATCAGCTGTTAAATTTTACAACTTTTGTGGTCTGTATTTTAAATTGAAATAATATAGATCACATTTGGTAAAAATTTCAGCTCATTTAAGAAAGTTTGTGAAAAGTTATGCAGTAAAAACTGAAAAAAAAATGGTGTTTCTAAACTTTTGCAGGCTACTGTATATTATTTATTTAGTTTTAATCAAAAAAACTTAGCTTAAGTGTTTTTTTAAACATTTTTAATGGTAAAAAATGCTTTGAGCTGCATATGAACACATTATTTGTTGGGAATTAGTATCCCCTTTAAAAAAGTTATTTTGGAAACGATTCCTATAGTGATAGGAATCGTGATAACAATTGTGATATTGTGATAACAATCTGTGTGAACATTAAGTTAAAAAAAGCTAGCACAGGGTTTCCGAAAATATCTCTTTTAATCTATAACCAGTCTTAATTAGAGAAGGTGTGTGATTGCACACAATTTGTCGGCTCGGGATGCAATTGTTGTATCGCAAATTTATTAAAATTATATATAAATATGTAATAATGTAATTTATGTAAGTTTAAAGTTATGTAAATGTAAAAAATTATTTAATATAACGTTTTAAAAAAAACTTTTTTCATTAATATATGATGTTAAATTTACATATATTAGATAATGACATATTTATTACAACTTTAATAAATTTGCGATACGACAATTGCATCCCGAGCCAACGAATTGTATTTCCACACCAATAATATTTTGTTTTGACCATGGCTGTTAAGTTTCTAAAATTTGAACATTTGAAAAAGGCGCTGAAAAAACTCTAGTTTTTATTAAAAAAACTTAAAAAAAAAAACTTAAAAAAAAACTCATCTTTAAAAAAAAAAAAGATGATTAAAGTCTTTTTTAAATCATTTCATATTTAGACATGGCTTCAAAAACTTTTGCCATTTTTTCTTTTCAAGCGTATTAACTTTAATAATTCATAAAGTTCATTAAAGATATTAAATGTTGTCTAAACAGTTATAATTTAAAAAATCAAAATAAATTAAAAACAAAAAAATATATTCATTTATTATAAAAAATCCAAACTTATATAATTTATATAATATAAATAAAACTATATGCAACTTTCATTGATACTTTAAAAATTATCAGTAATTTGTTACTTATCTATAAAAACATTAGTAATGATAGCAGTTTCAATGTTATATATTTTAAACATATAATTCAAAATCTTTTATATTTTACACTTTTTTTTCAAAAAAAAAAGCCATGATTAAATTTTCAAAACAAAATGTTACTTGCGTGGTCATATAATGACACGTGATCACACATCTTCCTGAGCAAGATTGCACAAAATAACATTTTATTGTAAACAAAACATGTTACTGTTTTATTCTATAGTGAATATTCTAAAAAATATTTAAATGTCAACAAATTACATTTCATTTGCACATGCAAAAAAAAAAAAGTTTAATCTATTAAGTTGTTAAGATTGATATATGACATTGATTTTAAATCAACTTAATTTAAAATTGAACAATAACAACATACACACAAATACTTCCTCACCAGTGTAGAACAGAGAAGATGGCTTTTTAATCATTGACTTTGACATTTTCCCTTTTTTAATTTTGTTCAATGACCCTGTTTCAGATGGAGGGCTAGAATCTATAAGTATATTATGTTCAGTTCCCTCTCCTGATAAAGACTTTGATAAACCACGCCTAAAAGGAAATATCACACAAAGTAAATTTAAATTCAATTCAAAGTCAAGACCAAGATTGTAATATAAAAAAAACCAAAGCTCATTTAACAATAAAAAAAAATATAGATAGGCTGGATTTCAAAAATTAAAATATACTTTTGTACTGTTTCTAAAGCATCTTCTTGAGTAATTTGTTTTGTTTTTACTTTTTCAAACAAATTTTTTATTTCATTTTGAGAGAGTGTTATATCTGTCGCATTAAATTCAAATGTCGATTTTCTTTGTTCATTTTTTTTATTAATTTCATCTTTGTGTCTTTTGAATATATTTATAAAAGATCGTTGCTTTTGGGATTTTCCTTTTAACTTGCTTGCAGCATTTTGGTGGTTCTCTAAAGTAAGAACAAAATGTCATCAATTTTTGATTTTTAACATCAATCAAAATAATTGTTTAAACTATAACACGTAGGTTTAGCATGGAAATATTTTTATACCAAAATTTAAGTCTGTTGTGCTTTTTGTAATTCTAGGATCATACTTGGAGGCACTTAAAGTACGATTTTTTTTATGCGTTTCAACATCAAGATATTCTGCGGGCTAAAGAGTTCATATTCAAAACAAATAACAACTGTAAAATAAAGATATAAATAAAACAATAAAATGTCATTACTATTAATGTAATCTCATTACTACAACAATAAAGTTGCACAATTCTAAATAAAATTGTATTTATTTAATATTGTTTAATTAACAAAGAATTAATAAAGAATTTTTCTTACAATACTTTAAAATTTCCTAAAGATTATATGATATGATTTTAAAATAAAAAAATCATAAGCAACTCATAAAAAACCAATTTTTATAATACCATATCATAAAACCACCTGTTCGGTCACTTCAACTTTGAACATTCATATCTCAGGTGTAAGTAAACATTTTTTTAGTATTTTTTTTTCTGAATTACACAGATAACTATATCATTAGTATATATTATATATATTAGTAATATAATATGCAAGATTTTGAAATTTTTTTGCAAACAAATAATTTCAGCATGCTGCAATTAGATTTTTTTTGGTGATCGGTTTGCATACATTTTTCACAATTTCATTATGTTACTAATTGTTGTTTTTATCGTTTAGTGAGGTGTTGCAATCCAAACGTGACTGAAGTTATAGTATTTTAAGATTTCACTGATTTTTAAAAAAAAGAGTTCTTGATACTTTTAAAAAAAATTTCACATCAACGTCAACTTGTCACCAGGCTTTCACATCATCGTCAACTAGTCACCAGGCTTTAATTATTTTAAATTACTTAATTATTTAATTATTTTAAATTTTTTAATTACTTATTAAATTATTTTTGTAATACAACAACAACAACAACAAGCTATTTATTTTCTGTAAATCATTTTACAATAGTTTTGATAATAATGATAATAATAATAATAATAATAATAATAATAATAATAATAGCAAAAATATATAATAATAACATAAGATAAAAAATATAACTATACAAATTATAGTAATAGTAATAATAAGTATGTTTACAATAATTACAATGAAAAAATAATAACAATAACTAATATTAATATAATAATAAGTTAATGATTTATTAGGATAGTGTCACTCATACAGAAATCTGATCAAAGGAGTGACACCAATTTTTAATATAATATAAGTAATAATAAGCAAAGACACACACTGAAACACATGGACCGTAAACACACAAACCAAAGCACATAATTAATATACATCAAAACGAACATGTAGAAATCAATTTGCAGGTTTTACTAATAAAAAAAAATAATAATAATAAAAACAAAGTGTTGATGATAATTGTTATAATTACGAAAAGAAAACTAAAACAATATTTAAATCATAATGATAATAATGCCAAAAAGTTAGAATAAAATTTTTTTTATAATTTTTTTAAATTTATATTGTTTAAGATGGAGTAAAGGTATTATGATAAACAATAGAACGTTTACCATACTTTTGGGTTTTAAAAGATGGTACATTTAGTTTTCCATTGTGTATATTTCTAGTCAAGTAGGAATAGTCTACTTTTTGTGAACAAGTTTGTTATAGGAGATGGTATATTTTTATTTAACAAAAAGAAGATGAGCATACTTTACTAGCGCTGGAAATGTTGGAATGTAAAGTTTTTTGAAGGACTTTGATGTATCTGATTTAATTGGTTGGAAGTTTATTAATCTGATGGATTGACGCTGAGACGATAGCAACTTGTTAATGCGATAGTTTCCAACTTGATCCCAAACTTGACAACAATAGCTAAGATGAGATGAGAATAATCCATAATAAATAATCCTAAGTGTAACTTTATTGACATAATTACGAATTATTGAAAGCATACCAAGATGAGATGCTTATACTTGGTGTATTAATTGATTGTAATCTTTCATGGAACTTTCATCAATATGAAAGTTCCATGAAAGATTACAATCAATTAATAAACCAAGATATTTAATAACTCTTGAAGGATATAGCCGTTTATTATTAATTTTGATTTCAACATTTTTAAATAAATTGTTTTTTCTTGGAGATGAAAAAAAAATTAGTTCAGTTTTTTCGGTGTTGAGACATATTAGGTTAGCATTTAGTGAACTATACCTTTTAGATCTGAATTAACATTTTTACATAAAGAATGATACGATTTGTTGATGTGCAAGAGATTTGTATCATCAGCAAACAGATGGACTGAAGAGAAGTGAACAGAGTTGATTAAGTCGTTAACGTAGATTAAAAACAAAAGAGGACCTAGAACAGAACCTTGAGGAACACCACTCAAAACTGATTTATAACTAGAATTGAAACCATTAATACTTACAAATTGTTTTCGATCTGCAAGATAAAATCGAAACCAGTCATTTACAATACCGCGAATTTTATAATGTTTTAATTTAGAAATCAAAATACTATGGTCAACAATATCGAAAGCTTTTTGTAAATCGATAAAAACACCACAAACGAAAAGACCAGTATCAAGAGCTTTCCTGATTTTTCCTGTTATACTTATTAATGCATGGCAAGTAGAATGTTTTGATCGAAATCCGAATAACATTTAATAATAAATTTAATAATCATTTAATAACAAGCTTTAATCATTTTTAATGTATTATCAAATACGAAAAACATCTTAGGCACAAAGTGTCAACAAATATTATTGGAGAAAAAAAGTTTGTAAAAATTGAAATACAAATGCATTTTTGTTATTTATTTTTAAATGACCAGGTTACATGGCGACTAAACTTAGGAGATTTTATGGTAAATAACTTTATTTTTATTAGCAAAAGGGGGTCAAATAAACTTTCCAATTGCACACAGAATAGAAGCAAAGGACAAAACTATTAAAATGGAATATAAAAATATTTGTTTTAATATAATGGATTTTTGTTAGTTCCAGGCAAAGCAAAAAATGTTATATCTTTGAAACCATTCGGAATTAGATGACAAACTTTTGGGGTTGTTCATAATATATTAAAACCTTTGAATGGTGTAAAAACCAGCAAAACCCGATACTTAAAAATGCATTTTAATAAAAAGTGAGATGTTTTTACATGGAGTCACCCATATTTTAGTTTTCAAATGTAAAATTATACATTTTTTATATTTCAATTTTATATTTTTTCCATTACTTTTTTTACTGTGTGGTTGTTAGTGATTTTATGTGATTCTAAGTGATTGTTTTGATAATTATGACATCTGATACCTATTATCGTATGCTAGAAGCAAACATGCTATCTAAGTTAGTGTGTGTGCGCTTGTTTGTTAATGTGTGTGTGGACCAATACTTGTAATTATATTCTCAATGTTTACTATAAGGATTTAATGTTTATCTAAGGATTTAAACAAAGGACTAACAAGTAGGAAAATAATAATAATTTTCATTAAAAAAAATAAAACAATTTTATTTAAGTTTTGGTAAAAAGCATTAACTCAACTAACTAAAAAAACATGACCATAACTGAGAGCATCTTCCTGAAAAATTTTAACTCAACTAACTAAAAAAACATGACCATAACTGAGAGCATCTTCCTGAAAAATTTTAACTCAACTAACTAAAAAAACATGACCATAACTGAGAGCATCTTCCTGAAAAATTTTAACTCAACTAACTAAAAAAACATGACCATAACTAAGAGCATCTTCCTGAAAAATTTTAAAAAATAAGAAAAATAAGAGCTCAAGAAAATTTGAAATTAATAAAGAAAAAGAAAAAAAAAAAAAACAGAATAATATAAACATTTTATAAATTAATTGGAAAACAGATATTTTTTTTTATTATTACATTATTTAGATATTATTACAAAATTTCTCCTTGTAATATATACCATGCCCACTTTCTTTTTTCATATTTCAGTTCACATACAAATTACATATTCAATATATCCAATATTACATATTCAATATAACACATCCACTTTTTTTTTAATTTTAATTCACATACAAATTAGCAACAAAAAGTTTTTTTTTGAGAACTTGAATACTTAATAAAAATTAAAATGTACACATATGAACATATTATGAATAAATATAAAAAATATACGCACATATACAAGAATAAACATAAAAATATACACACATATGTAAGAATAAATATAAAAAAATACACACATGAACAGATATAAGAATAAATATAAAATACGCACATCATGAACAGATAAAGCATCTTTTTGAACAACAGTGTCTGGAATCTAAAATCAAAATAATACCTTTTATTTAATTAAATAATTTTTCATAACCCTTATCTAAATTGTTGCAAAATAAATCAGAGATTTAAAAGCAAGGTTTGTCAAATAATCAGGATGTTATTTGGAAAATATACTAAAATTTTATAAAATTATTTACACTTTGAAAAAGCATTTAAAATAGTTTCCTTGTTTATGTTACGCTACTTTAATTACTAGCAGGTAATTAAAGTGAAAAGTTTGAAAGCGAAAAGAAGTTAAAGTGAAATGTTTATGCGACACAAAGATTGTAAAAAGTGACCAACGGAGCTGTCCAGTTACGTAGACCTGGGAGATGTGAAAATAAAAACAGATTGTAGATGAACTAAAGACTATTTAGTAATTTAGTGACTCGGAAAGAGGGGGAACTATAACTCACACTCTAGTCATCCTTAGCAAATGATAAGACAATGTGTGGTCTATGTGATCTATGATCTATGAGTAAAACGGGTGAGCTATCTATATCTATGAGTAAACAAGTGATCTAAACTAATGATCTATGAGTAAACAAGTCAATATAAATCTGCTGGTTTATTAATGGTAACCATTACTAAAATAATCGCACCATACAAAAACAATAAAAAAAAGTAGATAATAAAATAGTAAGTAAAATGATGATAAATGATAGTTCCAGAATATAAGAAGAAAAAATAGGCTAATGTGGTACTATTTATGGTCTAAACTTTAAATAATAAATTGAAAATTGATTATCACCTGTTTAACATAAAAATATATAAATATCGTTTATGTAACAAATTCATAATATAAAGCTCACAAAAATTCATGATTGTAAGACATAAAAAAACGTTGGTGTCATAATAACCAATTAGAATTAAGTAGTGGATGAATGGTGATCCCCCTCCTCAGGAATGTACTGTGATCACGTTTTGGAGAGTTTGAGACCTGCATTAACGCCACTTGTCAAAAACTTGTTCTTGCATCAGATCTCACCGCCTGCACTCTACGTCATGCTAGTCAATATCGCAATATAATAGGACTACACTATAAAAGCCAAAAATCCCAATCTCTATCCCAGTTTTTAATACAACTCCAACATTCTTAGAGATCTTGTGAAAGCTCTCTAAAACATCATTTTCCGTTACAAAATGGGAAAAAAGCAAGTATCCAACCATTAATTTCATCAGATCCACTTCCATAACTCAATCGGTTAGCACAGCTTTGCTAAAATTCTTCATTGGGACTGCCATCATAACTTGCAATAAATTGATCTGCTATTGGTAACTAGATGTCACGCTACTAACCGATTTAAAGTTGATTTTCTGCAAATCGATTACAAAGTTCAAAAATATTTTTTATTTAGTTTTTTCCAACCTTTAATGGTCCCCATTAAAGTTAATTGAGGTATGTTAAAGAGCATCCGAAACCTATATGAAAAGTATTTTTTTAATGTTCTTATTAGCACCACTCCACCAGTATATACATTTGTATGTATATATATTTGATAAACTTCAAAAAATTTTCAACTTAACTTAAGCTCCTTCTTATATAAAAAGATTCCTCCCTCTTATATAAAAAGCAACTTGAGCTCCCTCTTATACAAAAAGATTCCAATGTGCTGGGTAAAATACAATGCATCATAACATTTTTCAACAACATATTTTACTTTTATTATCTATAGATATTGTGTTGTTTTGTAAGAAGAAACCTAATGTACTTTGTATATAGACATTTACTGCCCCCAAGGCTTGTAAGCCACCAGGATTGATACTTGATTGGGGTTAGGGCTAAATTTTTCATGTTATATTTTAAATTATTTCAATGATTCATGCTATAATTTGTATAGCTTTGTTTTCTTAGCAGTATGCTTTCTTAGCAGTATGTTTTCTTAGGAGTATGTTTTCTTAGGAGTATGTTTTCTTAGGAGTATGTTTTCTTAGGAGTATGTTTTCTTAGCAGTATGTTGTCTTAGCAGTATGTTTTCTTAGCAGTATGTTTTCTTAGCAGTATATTTTCTTAGCAGTATGTTTTCTTAGCAGTATGTTTTCTTAGTAGTATGTTTTCTTAACAGCATGTTTTTATAGTTTGGTTTTCTTAGCAGTATGTTTTGAGTCCTGCTAAAGTACAAAAACATTTTTAACTCAATTTTTTAATAGAAAGTTGCAAGTTACCTTTTTGGAATTTCACAATACATTAAAGCATCTATTTTTTCATCAATAAAAGTCAATTTCCTCACTCCTTTATAACTCTTACTAATCCAAAGCATCAAAACCATTTTCAAAAATATGATATTGGCAACTTTTTGTACTTCTTTACAAAATTTTAATGGTTTTGCAGTTGAAAAAGAAAAATTTCAAATTTTATTTATAACCTTTTTCAATCATGATTTTTAAAATCAGTTACAAGGCTTTGTTGATGGAAACATAAATGTTGTTTTCCAGATGCCATTTTGTTTATCTATTATTTACAAGGTTTACAGATCAGATTTGTATAGGCATGAATGCCTGTCAACATGTCTTACAAATATACTAATCATAAATTGTTTTTTCTTCTTATTGATAATTGTCTAGTTTGTTTTTAAAATTGCTCAAGGATGATACATTTACAACGGCAACTGGGAGGGAGTTCCATTTTTTGACTACTCATAAGGTGAAATAGTTTTGACAAGAAGCTAGACAAGATTAAGGTTTTTCTAGTTTCTATTTTAAAAGTTTTCTAAAAGGTTTCTAGTTTAAAAGTTTTCTAGTTTCTAGTTTAAAAGAATGTCCTCTTGTAATTGAATTTATAATTGTTTTTGGAAAGATCGTTTTACAGGTGAAGCACTTGTTTAGCCATTCATAGACATTTATTAAATCTCACCGGATTAGCATGTATCTTATGGTTGTCATATTAATTTTTAATAGTCTTTGGTGATATGTAAGACTTTGTAATCCATGAACTAATTTAGATCCTCATTTTAGTATATTTTCCACTTGTCATTTGTCTTTAAGTAGACGAGGGTTATATACAGACCCATAATATTCTAAATATGGTCGAATTAGTGCTGAAAATAATCTTTTAAAAACAAAATAAAGATAAGAGAAACATCTTTTTATTAGAAATAGCATTCCCATTGTTTAGAATAGCAATTAATTATTGATGTGTACACCAAGGCAGTCATTGATTTCAAAAATGTCGATTTTAGTCGACTTTAGTAAAATATATTAGTTGATTTAGTCGACAGTCAAATTATTTAATAGTCATAACAACACTAGTTTTGAGTTCTAACTTTAGTTCTAATTCTACCCGGTGGGCACAGTACCTACAAAATCAAAGGATTTAACAGAAGAATTACAAATGGAGCTTTTAAATCAATAAAAAAAAAGAAGAGTGAAATGCTATTTTGACGAAAGATAAGAATTATTCCTTTTCTCCTGAAATAAAAATTAATCTATCCTTTACAATTAATCAAACTATTCAAAGTAACTTTTTAACTTGATGAACTCTTCCTTAATCTCAAAGATATATATCTTGGTGACATGTTATCTAAACAACCCTAATTACTTACTTCACTCCTTGATTTGTGTTTTATCTCTGATCTTAGCTTGCACTCAGTTCCTCCATATTCTTGCTTCGGGTGGTTCAGATTGTTCTATGATCTCAATAAAACTTTTATCCATTCCAGACTTACCAATTTTTAATTGCTTAGATCAGGAAGCAGATATTAAATGTAATCTGTCCTCTGCTTGGGCCATGCATTGACTAGTAAATTTTAACTCAAACAAAACTCAGTTATTTACTGCTAATAATTATCATGATTATTATATTCTTTTCATAATGAATAATTATTATAATGATATTCTTATCATAATGATATTCTTTTCAAAATGAATAATTATCACAATGATATTCTTATTCTAATGAATAATTATCATAATTATATTCTTTTCAAAATGAATAATTATAATAATGATATTCTTTTCAAAATGAATAATTATCATAATGATAATCTTTTTAAAATGAATAATTATCATAATGATATTCTTATAATAATGAATAGCAATACTATTAATGATTCCTCTATTTTACACCTCAAATTATTATTCACTACTGGCCTCCTATGGAAAACATATCTATTGCAGAGCTAGCATCTGCTTTACTCTTTATTATACTCACCATTTTCTTACCACTGATTTCACCTTTATAAATCCTTAATTCGCCATTTTATGAAATATTGTTAACATACTTGGATTAGTTGTTCCATCAACCAGAACTCAATCTCATGAGACATACCATTCAGTAAAATTGCATCTTTTTATTAAACTGTTCCTTCGCACTTAAAAACTTTAATTCATTTTGTTTTTATTCCTTGAACATCAATGCTTCGGAACTCTCTTAAACCATTTGGTTTAAACCTATCAACCCAAGCAGGGTTGATAGGTTCAAACCAAATGGTTCAAACTGTTTGAAAAAATATAAAGTAAAAGCTTGTTTTTGTATACAGAACATTAAATAATGATGTATTGATTGATGAATTATAAAAGTAATATTATAGAAAACATAATTTATTCAAGTGAAGTGCCTAATGCATTTTTTTAATAGAAAAAGTTGATTAAAGACAGCTTATTTTAAAAAAAGGAAACCAAAACAAACTATGATTTTCTTTGTTATTTTTTAAAAAAGCAACGGTTTTTGGTTTTTTTTGTTTAAAAAAAATGGGTTTTTTTCAACCATGTTTCCATGCTACCCTTATACACTTTACAATTTTGAAGTCTTCTATCAACAACTTTCTTGCATTAGTGTTAAGTCAAATTAGTGTTTGACAAGTTGGTCAAACCAAAGTGTCACTGAATGAACTTTAGGTTGAAAAGACATAAAGCTAACAATATATGTGAAGCAGAAAAACTGTTTACATATATTGTTAGCTTCATGTCTGACGACTCCAAAAATATATTCCAAAAAATTGTAATATTTCGTCCTGATGAAATATGGCACTTTACAAAAAACAGTTTTTCAAAAAAAAACAGTTTTCAAAAAAAGACGTTTTTTAGAATAATTTTTAAATGCTAAATTTACGTATATTGAAAAACTTTAGATGTTTATAACTTTATTATATGTTCATTTCAAATCATTTATTGAAAACAATGTATTCTATGTAATTTATTTATTTAAAATTTCCTTGTATGATAGCTAATATAACAAGATATTTCATAAATAATATAAAATCCAAAGAATTTAAAATCTACTTAAATTAAATCCAAACTATTCTTCATGTCATTCTAAGACAAAAAGTATGCACAATATGCTACAGAAAATCGGTAACCTTACTTAATCCCTCTATTAATTCATTTTATAAAGATTTTTTATCTTCTGAATACAACTTCAATGATCCAGTATTTGCATCTGGAATTTGCTCAACATGTAAAACAGTTCTTCATCAGCATGCTTGCCTTTATACTGTCCCACTAACTAGATGGTTTAAAATTTATAAAATTGCTCTAACAGGTGTGGTCTTGGAGACTGTTACTAAGAGACAAGGGTTTTGCTTGTGTCTTATATGTTCAGTTGCTAAAAGAAAAGGAGCCAACATAAAATCACTGATAGAAAGACCAGGGCAAGTTTAATTCATGTATAAATGTATATTTTTTTCTAATTAAAAATAATTAGATTTTATAACAAAATAAAAACCATTTATCAATTCAGATTAAAACCACCGGCATCTCAAAAATCTGCTTGTTAGATAGCGGTAGACCTAACATTTAAATAAGAAAAAAAAGGTCAAAAAATATTTTTAATAATACCAACACTAGCTAATTTTATTTAGACCCTCCATTTTTGTAAAAAATATTTCGGAACTTCTATGGAAAATCATTGAGAAAAGGAAAATTCAAACTCACGATGCTTTTGTAGTTTTTACATAATGGTTTAGTAATTCATACACATTCACATTTTTTTGTTTTTAATTTAAAAATCAGTTTTAGGTTAAAGTGTTTGCTGATGGTGGAGGTGGTAGTTATAAGATAGGTCTCGGCGTCATCAACATTTCAAACTATAAAAAAGATGTGCGTCTTAAAAGAAACCTTTACTCACAGGTTCAAGTAGGCATAACGCAATTGATTTTTCAAACCTATTATTTATATTAATATACTATAATTGGCATTTAACTCAAAAAGTTAGTATACACTTTGCTTAAATAACAGAGTATTAATCCTGATTTGGCAGAAGAGACATGTTCCAAGCATAGAAGAATGTTACTTGAATTGTGAACAAATATGGAAAAAGGTTGGTCTATCAGAGATATCATATAAACTATCTGCTGATTTAAATTTGCTTAACATAATTCTGAGACTACAAAACCACAGTAAATAAAATTTTCCATTTAAACATTTATTGCATTATTGTACATCATGCTAATTTTGGGTGAACACATTAGGTGCGAAACACCCTTGTTGTTTTTACAATAAGAGTTCTGACATTTTGTATCTGGAGAAGTTAGAGCTCTTGGATCAATCAAAGAAAACAATTTAGCCTGGATAGCAGCTTGGGAAAAGGATTTGAAGCTAAACTTTACCAACTGCAAGAATTTTCCATTACTAGTAGGAGATAATTCAACCAGGATTCTAGACATTTGCAGCATTCCAGAATTACATATTTTTACTGTAAATGTTTTTAAAACTTTCTGTAAAATATCTATAATAAAAACTATTTATATTGCATAATCTGATAATATGAATACGCTAATTTAATATTATTATTATTAGTGGAGTTACGTCATTTTCTAGGCTTTTCTATTTTAAAGTAGTTTCTAGGCTTTTCTATACATGTTTTTTTTTTTTTTTTATTTACTAACAACGCGTATTACGGGTTGCTTACTGCTAGTGAGTATGAAATCGGTAAAGGATGTTCTTGATGTGGTATCTCAGTCAACATTTGGAAAGAATTTAGCAAATGGTTTTGATACTAATATAAAAAATTTTGAACATTATTTTCGCGCTTTAAAACTATTAAGTCAACAAAACTTTTTATCTTGTTCAGCCATATAACATCATATTGCACAGAGAATGGTGAGGCTCTTGGACTCACCAATGAGCAACCAGGAGAGTCTCTTCATTCAAAATTTTTAGAAATGTCAAGGTACAGGTTACCCTAAGACTATCATCACGACTCATATAAGAAAAAACTTATGGGTGTTATTTTGACATATAATAATGAAAGGATTTAACTGTACAATGACATATTATGAAACTGTTTAGATTGTTATTAAGAATAGTTATTAACATTGTTAATTTATTATTAAAATCACTAAAAATAATAACAAAATTTATGAAAATATATGCATAATATTGTTGTTTTTTGTAAAATGTCATATTTCATCAGGACGGAATGTTACAAATTTTTGGTATATAATTTTGGAGTCGCTAGATATAAAGCTAACAATATATGTCAACAGTTTTTCTGTACAATTTTTTTCAACCTAAAGTTTGTTCAGCAACACTGTGAAACCAAGACTTAAAATTAAAGAAACTGTTCTATAAAAAATGATTTCACAGAGTAAAGATCCCTTTAGACTAAAGACCGTCAGAATTAGTAATACTCTTTTCAAAAGTAAACAATATTTTTTAAAACAAATTATAAAATAAAAAAATATTTACTTCATTTATTTGATTGTAAGATTGAACAGGTAGTTGACGCTTTCTTAATACTTCCAATGCCTCTAAAACATCTTCAAAATAAGTTTCTAATTCATCAGCCAATCTAATAGCCAAAGTATATAAATCCCCTAAAGTTCCATCCTAAAACAAAAAAAAAATCAATAATTAAAAACTAAAATAGTGGAAAAATTTCAAACTCAAAATAAAATTAACTAATTAAATTGTATCCAACAAATTGTACCAAAATAAGTCTATAAAACTAATGAAAAATAATTTGAATTTAAATATTAAAACTAGTAAAACTTACACCACTTGACAAAATAATACTTGACACCCTTATTATTTGGCTAGATTAAGGCATGAGGTTTTAGGCTAGTCTTAGATGTGGGTCCTTGTTGCATGGATAAACAAATCTTAGAAACAAGATGTAACTTAAAAAATTAAACTTTTTTGCTTTAATGATTATGCTATGATGATCTAAATTCTGTTGTCGTTGCGCACTCGGTTTTGAATGTTTAACGGGGCATGGTAAAATAGTTGTATAACTCTAAACTTCCTTTTTGTATCAATATTAAATAACTTTAACTTTAATTATTTTGAAAAGTAATCAGTTTAACAAAATGGTTTAATTTAAATATAAAATTAGAACTTTTAATTATGTTCTTATAAAAAACATACTTTTTAAACTCTCTTACTGTTTTAAAAAAGTTGCCGCATGGCAAGTTTAAATATTGCTTTATTTTTAAATTTGTGTTATTTAAAATGCAAAACAAAACAACTTTACAGTTCTATAGATTTTATATTCTATATATAAACATGTTAAATACTCATTTTTCTTGCACAAACTCAACTTATTTGTAAAAAAAACTTGAAATATAAAAATAAAATAACATAAGTATCTCAACTAGTGATGTACCAATATCACTTTTTTGGCCGATGCCGATACTGATGCTGATGGATGGGAAAATGCCAATACCGATGACGATACAGATGAATTTACTAATTGTTAAAAATTTGAAAATATAACACCATACAACTTTAAATTGGTACTGGTATACAAATGTTTGGACCCAAATCAAAGCCAAACAATTATTTTAAAAGATATTAGAAAAACTCAGTTAAAAAAATATACATTTTTATTTTTTTCTACTATGAAAAGAAAACTTTCAAGAAAATAAATACAATTTTAGAGGAACGCTTTTTATTTTAATTTTAAAAAAAGAAAATATGCATATGCAGTTTACTTAGAATTCTTTATTAATTTATTAGTAATTTAGATATCTAAACAACAACCATGTTGTTCAGACATAAAATATTTTTAGATTAAAATTTTTTTTTGAGAATTATTAAATTTGTAATGTTCTATCCTCACCAAGTCTCTGGTAGTACAGCACTTAACTTGTTTCTACAAGCAGCGGCCTTGGTCATCAAGGTTTGTGTTTCTGAGTTATAAAGATGAAAGTGGGTTGTAACCATAACTAAAGTAGCCTCCTCAATAAAGTCTCCTCAAAGAAAGTCTTTTCTAATCCGATTCTCAAATCTTATGGCCATTCTCTTCCTTCCATTCTAATTAAACAAGTTAACCCATTGTTAGACATTCAAATCATTTCAGCTTCCATTGCTCATAGTTATATCTCGATTAAACTCTTCTGTGGCTTGTGGTCCAGACAACATTCCTGTCACGGTCTTCCAAATTGTTCACCAGAACTCTCTTCAATTTTCTCTAAACTATTTATTAAGTGACCCCTCCGATTATTGTCCAACCAGCCTTTTATCTGTTATTAGCAAGGTCTTTGAGTCTTTGATAAATAAATTTCTCACATTCTATCTTGAGTCAAATAACTTGCTGTCAGACAAATAACTATTGCAGTACTGTCGACATTCCTATATGATGATGAATGGCAACCCACTCACTGATTCCACTACTTTACGCCTTCTTGGATTATCATTTACAACTGACTTTTCATGAAAACCATGTATACAATTGATTGCTAAATTAGCATCTGCAAAGATTGTTTCTTTTTATCGTGCTCACCATTTTCTTTCTCCTGATTCCATTCCCTACCTCTAAAAATCTTTTATTCTTTCCTGTATGGAATACTGTTATCATATTTGGGCTGGTTCTTCTAATGATGCTCTTTCTCTTCAATACAAGGTCCGAAAAAGGCATTGTTAACAGAGTTGGACCCAGTCTATCTGCTAAGTTTGAGCCTTTTTCCATCGTCATAAAGTTGCATCTCTTTCTCTTTTTTACAAATACTATCATGGTTGCTGCTCAAAGGAGCTTTCATCTCTAGTTCCATCAACCAAAACTCATTCTCGTTTGACTTGTCATTTATCAAAGTCTCATTCTTCGATTGTATCTGTCTCTTCATGTTCCAAAAACCTTTATTCGTCTAGCTTATTTCCAGGCGCTTCAACCCTTCGGAACTCTGCCCCATCTTTATGTTTTTCTGACTCAAACAACCTTTAACTTTTTAATTCTTCTGTCAACCAATTCATTGCACTATAACTCTACTCTTTTTTTCTAGCAACTCCCAACTTGATAGTGATTGCTTGAAGCCTTATTGGGTGTAAAAAAGAATTTAAAATATATAGATAACAATGTTTGAATAGGTTACTTTTAAAGCTTTTGCCTGTAAACAAAGTCAAAATAAAAATTTATCCAAAAAATTCTAAGTAATGCACGAAGTTTAGTTTATTTATTATTTAATTATTATAATAATGCAGGATAAAAATATTAGAATGCCATCGGTAGGAAAATTGGTAAAAAAGGCTGATGCCGATACCAATACCGATTGTGCAAAAAATGGCTGATCAAGCCGATGCCGATACCAATTAATTGGTACATCACTTATCTCAATGATGCCATGATGCAACAAATATCCCCCTGTTTTTTAATGTTTTTAGAATTTTTTGCTTTTTTAAAAATCTTCTTGTTTTTAAAGTGTATAACGTTGTTAGATATGTTTGTATATAATCTTTATTCTTTACAAGTACTTTTAAAAATTTTAAAAAAAAGTCGGTAGTGCTTGGACTCGAACCACGGCCTTCTTTTTGAGAAGCTCAGCGCGCTAACCACTAGATATATAGGTAGGATATAAGTTTCACGTTTGCTTATGTTTTCTCATAAAGCAAAGCTCCGACTCTTTCTTGCTAATACCTTGGTTGCAATGGCTGCCAAGGGTTTTGTGTCAAACATGCTCCAAAGGACACTACTATTAAAACTATTAAATTTGGCAATAATATATCAACTATTTTAATAAAAAAGTCGATGAATAAATAACTGCTAAGTTTTAATTCACCCATAAAGTTCAGAAGAATTTTTTATGAATTCGGTGGTAGAATTGGCATTTTCTAATGGATCAGATTGAGTATCATCTGCTTCTTTCATTTTTAGGAAGTCATTAATTTTTGAAAATTCATGTAACATTTCTTTAGTTTGAATAACATGTAAAAAAAAATTGCTAAAAAAATTTGAATGACAATTACATTAAATATAAGCACTATTTACAAATGAAATATATTCAGCTAAAATTAAAAACAAAAAAAAATTGATTTTGTATTAGGCTAGCCTAATTTATTGAAATATTTAATAACAGAAAACAAATTTGTTGATTACTAACAATTTTTTTTTGTATTCACAGTTATTGAACGAAAAGTAAAAAAAAAAAACCATAAAAGAAATATTTATAATGAAAAACTTTTAATTAACATCTTGCAAGCACTATAATATTATTGAGACAATTTTTCATTGCAATAAAATTTTACTTAAATTTATTTTGTTTAATAAAAAATAAAATAAAAACAAAATTAAAAAATATATATATTTAGTTAAAAAATAATGCATAAAAAATTTGCAAAAAACCAAATGTTAAACTATTTTTTATAAGGCAATTGAAAGCACAATGATATATATTTTTTATAAAATGTCACTTGAAAACCTAAAATATTCTTTGCTTGTCACAACAAAATCACTAATAAAGTAATTATCAAGAGTTTTGTTTTTAAGCAATAAAATTTTATTTGTAACTCACTAATTTTTTAAAAATAAAAAATCATCAGTTGCAAAGCCAAATTTACATATTTAAGAGATAATAATAATAATAAAAAAAACTTCTTTTAATTCATTTAAACTTACTTAAATTTATATATAATTAAGAAATTTGTCCATAAAACAAAACAATAAATAAAATTTAACATTATAAAATTCACATTAGGCTAATTTATTAGGCATTTTTTATTTAAAAGGCCTGCAAATTCAATACTTTAACATAAATGTTTTTAAACAACTACATTCAAAATTTATTTACAAATAATGTAATAATAAATATTAAAAACATTCTAAATTTAAATGTTTTTAATGTAATGTAATTGAATAATGTTTGTAAATCAAAATGTTGAGCTTTAGTTTTCTATTTTTCTTGCTTATATTTGTTAAACTTCATCAGTACAGGTGTCCTCTTCGGCACAGGGCCCAAAGTCATGACTTTAGTGATTTATGCCTTAATCTTATCTTGGTTTTATGATAATAATTGTTCTAATATCAAATATAAAAATGACATGACATTGCAAACAGAAAGTGACTAAGGTGGAAATTTGACCAAGCCTGGGTTTGTGATCGGGACTAAGTAAAACATGCTAAAGTATAAATTTTATTCAAAACTTATATATATTTATTATCATATATATATATATATATATATATATATATATATATATATATATATATATATATATATATATATATATATATATATATATATATATATATATATATATATATATATATATATATAGTCTTGCATGGTAGTCACAAAGTTTTTCCCATAAACTGTTGTTTTAAAGAGCGCGTTAATAAGCCTGACCAGAAAATGTTAAAAAACTTCAAAAAAAAAATAATTTTTTTTCTAAATGATAGACTGCCTGCCCAAACCAAACCCTCAGTCAATGTAGCACTCCCTTGGGAGTCAGGCTATTTGTCAGTTGATGTAGCAGCACTCCCTTGCGAGTCAGGCTATTTGTCAGTCAATGTAGCAGCACTCCCTTGCAAGTCAGGCTATTTGTCAGTCGATGTAGCAGCACTCCCTTGCAAGTCAGGCTATTTGTCAGTCGATGTAGCAGCACTCCGTTGCAAGTTA